TTGTGACCTACGTCAAAAAACTTTCACTGTTTGACCATCGATGTCTTCGGAGCATTGCCCGAATCTGGTGGGAACACCGGATGAGCAATGCTGAAGTACGTTGAACAGTATTCCGGAGAAATAACCCATCCTCGATAGATGAACTGACCACACTACATAGGTTGCGCTGGCTTGGCCACGTGCTGCGTATGCCAGTCGACCGACTTCATCGAAGGGCTCTTTTCGCCCAACCATGTGAAGGGTGGAAGAGAGTCAGAGGCGGTCAAAAAATGACTAGACAGCGAAGTACAAAAGCCATTACCAACAAACTCAGCAGCGCTGGTCATTAATGTCTTCCTGGCTGGGGACCCCGAGATGGTCCATACCAATGGTTAGAGACATTGTCAGACATGACCCAGTTGCACCCTCAATGGCGCTCGTGCATCCAAGCTATTGCCTTCAATGCATAGTTCTCTTCCCAATCCGCCCACTGACAGTACTGGATGTATACACCAATTTATCATCTCCCGCCTCCAATGCGCAGCTACTTCCCCCTTCCTCCAAATCATCGGTGAACGAAACTGCTGCAGCTACAACCACTGTACGACGAGTACGCGGCTGCGCAGCTGACGATGATGATGATATGACTTACTTTGGCAGTACGTTTACGCCTATGTTGATGTGTTTGCCGAATTACTAACTCATCGCCACTCTACTCATTTCTTCCTGTCAGCTAGTTTTTAGAGAAACAAATATTTACTGGTGTCCCCGATCCACTGTCTGCAGGCGATGAAACGCATGCGTGTACATAAGTTTGTCGATCATTGATGCGAACAGTACAATCTTATCGTTTTCTGAAAAGTTTGGAAATCCAGGTGTTCTCCACTTGTTCGAAGCACAACTATGCACTCGAATTTCTCTGATCATTTCGCTCTCATGTTCACTGTTCTGTTCCTTGTTTTATTGACCAGTCATTTGGGATGGATGCTAGTTATTTAATTCTGATGGTGTACGGCAGTTATCGGCAATAGCAAGCCTCCGGTGCACCCTGTCAGTGCCACATAAGGTCACGCCAAACAATCGGTTCGTTTCAAACAGCTTCACCACTTATAACTGCTAACCAGAAGGCCACGTGACTGTTCCTTTGTACAAATAGGGACGAATGTCCTCACTTGGATGAACTTTTCGGCCTGGCAGATTTGTGTCTGCGGTTCTTCATCGCGTTTAATTTTCCATCTGGTCTTTTGGAATCCTGCGGTGATTAGAGAATTCAACATAGGCTGCTTTGTTTCATCTGAAATTCTGTCCTAGAACAT